AACAAGATAAAGTTATCCGATTTCGAGAGTGATCCCAGATTCATTAGACTGTGCAAAGTGCTGACGAAGCCGTCGGGGGTGGCCGCATCGTCGTCGTCGGCGGCGGCGGCGGCTGGTAAAAACGTACGCCTCAATTTGGTGCAACGCAGCGAGGATCTTTCCACTATTATGAACGTTACAGCGGACGACGAAGCTGCTAAATTGGTTGCCAGTATTACGCTACCGCAAATGGTCAAGGTGAATATCAAGGAATGTTTTCATATCTGTTTGTTTAATTATCATTGTGTTTAGGTGATGCAAACTTTGGCTAGCAAGAAACGACGATCCACCACTTTGCTGAGATCGCTCTCGTACAACATCACCTGCTGCAAAGACACGTTGAACCTGAAGCAGTGCAGCGATTTGCTGTTCAGCATGTGCGTACTGAATTTCCCCGATGAGAATCTGCTGACGAGAATCGGCGCTGATATTATCAAAGGTTTGAATGAGGATTTCAGGAAGAGCGCCGTAATCGGTTCAATCGTCACCAGCATAGGACTGTTGAAGTACAAAGAAACAGGTAATAAACGTTTCGCTTCGATCGTAATCGTAATAATAATAATGCATATTTTAGATGGTCTATTGGATTCTCTGTGCAATTGGATGATGACCAATCAAGAGTTGATGAGGCCGCCGGATGGATTCGCACTGTTCCTCACCATGGCCGTCCTCGACTCGAAACCTAGCAACGCCGAAGAATTGTTTGACGTGAGTGACGATCAACCAAACATTCGCAATAATTACTTAATTGATTTTATTTTTTCGTACAGAAATTGATTCCGCAATTGACGACGATCGAAGCGCCGAAACCTTCCGTCTGGTTGGACTTTGTGTGGTCGCTGGTTCTTCTGAAGAAAGCCACGCACGAGCACATCTCTAGCGTCCTATCCGATTCATTCATATCCGAAGTTCAAAGTAATGTAGAAACTGTGATTTTATATCTGCATTTGCTTCAAAATTATTATCTACAGATGAGAAGAGCCTTTCGAAATCCAGCGAGATGAAGCTGCTCAATATCAATGCGGCGGCGAAGACGCTTTCGTCAGAGTACGCGGGACCGTGCATTCCCGACGATTCGGATCTCCTAAAAGTGGAGCCGCCTCGTTCGAAAGATAAGGATGCGCTCGTTAATTCGATGCTCGATTCGCTGAAGAGTCTCGTCCAGTCCGAGAACTACATCAGATCGAACGTGAACACCGGAATGGGTTTTTACATCGGTATTCACAAACAAACATTCGTTATTTAGTCGCGCTCGATTCATCATCGTTTAAATTTGCAGATGCCGAATGTGTGATCGATAAAAAGTGTAATCCAGTTTCCTTCGATAAATACGAGAAGAGTCCCGAAGATTATACCAAGTAAGAAACTGATATTATCTCCTTTTGTTGTTGATCGATTGATTGTTGTTTCTGTTTTGGTAAAGGGTCGCCTTCCTCGCCGACGATTACAACGACATGTGTCGCGGCCGCGTCGAGTTGACGGGCGTGAACGTGCTTGCAGGAAGACTGTTGGAGTCGAAGGGTTATCGCATCATCCACGTGCCGCACAGCGAATACAAAATCAGGGATAAACTGGTGAACCGGGTCCAATGTCTGGAGGCCAAAATCAAAGCGCTGCAGCAACACCACTAGTCGATCAGAACAACAACAACTTGTATTGTATTCTTTTCTATGATCTACGATGATTTTGTCTTTTCGATCCAGACCGTCGATAGCGTGATTAAAAAAAAAAACCTCTTAGCGCATCTTTCAAAGAAACATTTCAAGGAGAGGCGAGAGCTATTTATTATTATTACTGTTTACCTGTTGATAATAAAAGTTAATTTACAACAACATCAACTAATTCCTGCATGCCGCCGAGTTTGTCGTCTAGATCAACATTCTAAACTGAGCTATTTATCATTATCATCTATTTATCATCATCATCATACATGCATGCATAAATATCTCTATATGTATATATATATATATAAAAATAATGAGAGAGAGAGAGAAACAAACATAGTTTGTTTACTTGAAATATGGCGGTCTGTGGGGCGGCGGGAGGTTCGGATTTGGATTCGGGGGGTTTGCGTAGAATCCCGAAGCGGCCGCGTTCGGTGGCGGAATCGGTGGAAATCCCGGGGGATATGTGGGAAAGACCATGGGCGGAGGCGGACCGGACATGTGCGGCGGTCCAGGGGGCGGGGCGATGTGCGTGGGCGCCGGATACGGATAGGGCGGTAACGTGTTGTACGGATAGGGCGGAGCGTCCGGCGGCATCGCGGGTTGTTGTTGCTGCTGCTTCATCGCACACGTGAGCTGTGACGCCACCGTCGTCGACGAATCGACGTCCATCTTTTCCTGCCCGTTGCTCGTCACCAACCCCTTGATGGGAGTGTGCGAACCCTGCGCCGCCCTCGGCGCCAACGGCGGACTTTCCGGCGCCGTCGACGATGACGACTGATACAGATCGAGCACCTGGTGACAGATATCCTCGAGCAGATCCATGGTCACGTCCTCCACGAACATGTCCCACCATCTGAGATGCTTCGAGGTGCGCCCGATCCAATCAACGACCTCGAACTGACTCAACTTACATGCCAAATACATCAGAGCGACGGCGATGATCTCCGGTTCCCATTGCAGAGCCAGCGTCGTGCAAAGACTGTCATTGACGAACGTCCAAGCCATCTGCACCATCTTCTGCAGCTTTGTCTTATCTCCCTTCAAGCACTTTGCATACTTCAGCAGATAATAGTACGGATGCTCCACTTGCAAGTCAAACTTGATGGTCTGCAGCAGGATTCTCTCCAGCGTCATCACCTCCTCCTTGGGGTCTTCCCCGAACGTCTGGAATTTCTGGTCAGAGAGAAGACTCTTTGCAGTCTTGATGATATCTTTGCATTTCTTCGGAGTCTCCTCCACTTTCCCGGCAAGGAACAGACAGCAGCATGCTGTCACGTATCTTGGGAACTGTCTGAAGGAATGAAACATGTAGAAGCGATGGAAGTAGATCATCCCAGTTGCCATTGTGTTGTATCCCAGATCCATTTTCGATCCAGTCTCCTTGATGAATCTGGCACCTGTTTTAGCATTTCGTTTGTTTAGAAAACTAACCTCTCGTAAGAATATCGATCGAAAACGCTCACCTTCCTTCCTGTATCTCATCTCAGTTTCGTAACTGATTCCGTCCAGTTTCGAAGGAGTATTCCGCAACTCCTTCTTGTCGTAATACCAGCAAGGCATGATCTGATGTTTCGCGCACAACAACAACAACAACAACTGTAGTAAACTCTGGAAATTGTTCAGAAACAATTTACATTGACCGCCATATTACAAGTTAAATCAGCTGATGAAACAAATCACTATTGATTGTTTGAATTGAAAAAATAACCTTGGCTTTTGATATATATAGGCACTTTTATTACTGAAATGTTGGTACAACTGCTAGATTGCAACAAAATTCGAAATTGAACACAGCGAGCGAGATGAATCTGGCTGATGAATTGCACAGATTGAACGAAGAATCAAAGGCCAGAAAATTGGAGCACGACGAGTACGTGTATCTTATATCATCTGGCATTGAAACTAAGGGACTTTTGAAGGAAGCGGAAGAGATGAATCGGTGCGATTCTGAGAAAGTCAAAAGTCTGAGAGCTGAAGTTGCCGAGTTGAGTGTAAACTGTTGCATCGCAGAAACGTCATTGAAAGGCTACAAAGATAAAGTACTATCACAGTCAATTGAGATTAACGAGAAGACAAAGACATTGGAGATGCTGCAAATTGAGTACGGAAATGATATGGAAAAGTTCATCATCGCTGCTTCACCCACTTCACCAGTCAATTCAAAACAGTCGCAGTCCGGTTCCGATTCGAAGGACGAAAAGGAGATTGCGTATTTGGAAGGGAAAATCGATGCGTTGCAATTATACATTCGAGCTGCGGAAAGCGGGTTGCAGCAATTGCGAGCCCTTCTCAATTGTTAATTTTTGTCAAGTTTATTAAACTGCTTTCAGCGACAAACTTCACGTTGTTGTTTTCCTCAAACACATGTCAAATCAGATAGCTTAACCTAAAATATAGTGCAACAGCAGCAGCAGTAGCAGAAGATGGTCGATTTACCTGGATTCGCAGATCCAAATTCTGTGGACGAGGTGGACAGGGCGCAGTACGATGAGGTCAAGAAGAAGGCGTCGAAAAAGTCGGGCGGCTTCCAGTCGATGGGACTGGATTTCAACGTGCTGAGAGCGGTCAAGACGAGAGGATACAAAATCCCAACGCCGATCCAGAGGAAGACGATTCCACTCGTCTTGGAGGGTAGAGATGTTGTTGCCATGGCGAGGACGGGCAGCGGTAAGACCGCCTGCTTCCTGTTGCCCATGTTCGAGAAGCTGAAAGTGAGAAGTGCTGTGAACGGTGTGAGAGCAGTCATCCTCTCACCTACAAGAGAGTTGGCGCTGCAGACGCTGAAATTCATCAGGGATTTGGGCAAATTCACTGACCTCAGAGCTGCCGTCATCCTCGGAGGTGATTCCATGGAGCAGCAGTTCTCAGTTATCCACGGCAATCCTGACATCATTGTGGCGACGCCAGGAAGATTCCTTCATGTCTGCGTTGAAATGGACCTGAAATTGTCCAGTGTGCAGTACATTGTCTTCGACGAAGCTGACAGGCTGTTTGAGATGGGTTTCGGGGAGCAGTTGAATGAAATTGTCAAGAGACTGCCTGATACAAGGCAAACTCTGCTGTTCTCAGCCACATTACCCAAAGTCCTTGTCGAGTTCTCCAAGGCAGGTTTGACGGATCCCGTCCTAATTCGGTAATTATACAAACAAACAACATTAATCACATACAATTGGTTTTACTCTCTTTTGCTTACAGTTTGGACGTGGAATCAAAACTACCGGACACTCTGCAATTGTATTACATTAGCGTCAGATCCGAGGAGAAGATGGCTGCACTTTTGGTGCTCCTCATGAATCACATCGAAGCTAATCAGCAGACGGTCGTCTTTGCAGCAACTAAACATCATGTGGCTTACATCAGTGAGGTGAGTGTATCAACATCATTGAATGCATTTGATTATTTACAATTTTGAATTTGAAGATTTTAGATTTCGTCGGCATAAGCAACACCATGATCTTTTCCAATTTGGACGCTTCCGCCAGGAAGATCAATGCAGCCAAATTTACTGCGAAGAAAGTCGACGTACTTGTGGTGACGGACGTCGCGGCGCGCGGTATCGACATCCCCGAATTGGATAACGTTATCAATTACAATTTCCCAGCAAAATCCAAGTTGTTTGTGCACAGAGTTGGTGCGTATACGTTTAATTGGGAATGTAAGTAATTAAAGTTTTTAATCTTGTTTCTTTCTTACAACAGGTCGTTGCGCCAGAGCAGGTCGGTCCGGTACTGCCTACTCTCTGGTCGGTCCCGACGAGTACGCGTACTTGGTGGATCTTCAGCTATTCTTGGGAAGACCATTGGAATTGGTGAGTCCGACGAAACCGAACGGAAATGTCGGACGCATCCCGCAGACCCTTCTGGAAGAGCAACTGACCACCCTGCTGAATCTGCACAAGGATCACAACGATCTGGAGGGAACGAAACAGGTTGCCACGAACGGTTACATGCAGTATCTGAGGAGCAGACCGAACGCGTCCACAGACAGCAACAAGAAGGTGAAGGAGATGTCGTTCGGCACGTGCGGTATTCATCCGATCTTCATGACGACCGTCGACGGAGTCGCGGAAACGAAGAAGGAAAGTCTGCTGGAGCAGATGAAGGCGTACAGGCCGCGCGGCACGATCTTCGAGGTGGCCGACAAGAAGAACACGCAGGAGAGCGCCATCATGAGGCAGAAGAGATCCGAGCACAACAATCTGATCGAAAATTACCACAAGAAGGCGGAGAAGAGGAAAGCCGACGAGGCGGAAGGTGAAATGCTCGTCGTCAATTCGCTGCAGAAGAGCGACAATGCGGAGATCGAGGGCGCCTTCAGCGAGGTCATTTTACCCAAGAAACGCAAGATCGACGATCTGTACAAGAAGAAGAAAGCCAAGAAGCCTATAATCAAGGACGAGAATTACATACCGTACGCACCGAGCGACAGGCACACCGAAGAAGGGTAAGTTGGAAATGTTATTTATAAATTGAGTGAATGTAAATTGTATATTGTTATTAGATTGGTGGTGAATAATTTCCAAAAGGAGGCGAGCAAAGCGCAAATGGATTTGACCGGTGACAGCGATGAAGCGATGAAATTTGCCAGGCAAAAGAAGGTGTGGGACAGGAAAACCAAGAAGATGGTCACAATTGATCCGGTAAATAAATAAATACACTCGACGATAGAGAGCGAGCAGACAATAATTGTAACTATAATTTTACAGCACGCGAATGGACGTAAAATCAAAACTGAACACGGAGCTTGGATTCCGGCCTCGTTCAAAAGTAATCGCTACGCGGATTGGAAGGAGAGGAACAAAATCGAGCAGACGGCAAATTCCGATGACAACGACGATGATGACGATGCTGCAGATGGTGGTGGCAAGAAGGGCAAAAAGGCACCGAAGAAAACCGATTTCTTGAGCGGTCGACCGAATACGCATTGGGCGAGACACAACGAAAAGGTGAAAATCAAGAAGAGAAGATCGGAACTGAAGAGCACCGATCAGATCCTGAAGGAGCGACAGCTGATGGAAAGGAAACGGGCAAAGTCGAAGCCCAAGAAGTATCGAAACAAGGGCGGCGGAAATAACAAGAAAATTAATTTCAAGGGAAAACGGAAATAGATTGGCGAATAGAAGGTGGTATTGATGAGGAGAATTAACAACTAATAATATATGTAAGAATTTCGATTAAAATTGTTTTCTAGGAAATATATTCATAGACATTTAAAAACAACACTTTTTATCTATCTCCTATCAACGTACTTTCTATCTTTCTTCCTTCTTTTATATAACAAAAAAAATATATAATAATAATATAGGTTGTATATCGTAATTACGAGATAAAAATTGTACATAACAAAAAAAAACTAGTCGAGTGTAAGTCGGTGTGTGTGTGGTGTGGAGTTTGCCATTTATTCTATTCGCTCTTGGCGCCGCCGCCCCCACTGCAAAGTTTAATAACAAATTTATAAAATTTGCATCACATAAAAATAATAACAAATAGTTTGCAAATTTCGTTAGGGGGCTAGGCTGTTGGTAGGTGTTGTATTTCCTCTCTATTTCTATTCACTACTAGTACATATATGCATTGTTTCTCATTCACTACTATTTAGTACTACTACTGACTCTTCCGATATATTATATACATTTAGATAAGAGAAGGGGAGGCGCGCTTGGTGGAATGGGCGGGGTTTGCACTGGTAATAATAAATGGTGCCCCGCCTCTCATCCCAATCAGCAACTCCTCCTCCATACGCTCCCTTGCTTGTTCGGCCACAACAGAAAACAACGTAAGAAACTAAATTTATTTAAAAAAAAACAAAAAAAAAATAGCAGTAAATGTAACCAGTCTGTTCGGTAATTTAACCATACCATTATTTTATAGGCTCACGCGCACACTTTTTTTAATTCTTGTCCTCCTTCTTCTCTTTGGGCGGTTCCTCCGTCGTCGTCTGTTCGCCGCTCGCGTTTCCGCTGCTCTCCCTGTCTGCTGCCATCTATTATTTCAATTGGGAACGGAGTGGGAAAAAATACAAATATTAGTTTCATTGATTGTAATTAATCAGATTAGATCTCACCTTCTTGTAGGCCATCTCGAAGAGTTTCAGGGAGGATTGTTGCAGCGTGCTGATGCTCTTGCGAATCTCCTCAGGGTCCATCTCGTCCTTCTTGGCGAGCATCTCACGCACCTTGGCGATCTCTTCCTTCAACTTCTCGCATTCCTCCTTGGGCAATTGATCCTTGTACTCGTCCATCTTGGTCTCGGTGTCGTGGACGATACCCTCCGCCTGGTTGACGGCCTCGACGCGGTCCTTCTTTACCTTATCGGCTTGGGCGTACTGCTCGGCGTTCTTGACCATGTTCTCGATTTCGTCCTTGCTCAGACCACCGGACGATTGGATGACGATCTGTTGTTCCTTGCCGGTTCCCTTGTCCCTGGCGGAGACGTGCACGATGCCGTTGGCGTCGATGTCGAACGTCACCTCGATCTGGGGCACTCCCCTAGGCGCTGGTGGCATACCGACCAATGTGAACTGTCCCAGCAGCTTGTTGTCGGCTGCCATCTCGCGCTCTCCCTGGTGAACCTTGATCTCCACCTGGGTCTGACCGTCGGCGGCGGTCGAGAACACCTGACTCTTCTTGGTCGGGATGGTGGTGTTCCTGCCGATGAGCCTGGTGAAGACTCCACCCAAGGTCTCGATACCGAGCGACAACGGGGTCACGTCCAAAAGGAGGACGTCGGTGACGTCTCCGGCGAGTACGCCACCTTGGACGGCAGCTCCGACGGCGACAGCCTCATCGGGGTTGACGGCGCGACTCGGTTGCTTGCCGAAGACCTCCTGCACGGTCGACTGTACCTTGGGCATGCGGCTCATACCACCGACCAAGAGGACCTCTCCGACCTCGGACTTGGCGACTTCGGCGTCCTTGAGCGCTTTCTGGCAGGGCGAGATGGTGCGTTTGATCAGATCGCCGACGAGACTCTCGAACTTGGCGCGACTCAGTTTCAGGTTCATGTGCTTCGGTCCGGATGCGTCCATCGTCAGGTACGGCAGGTTGACATCGGTTTGCAGGGAGGACGAGAGTTCGATCTTTGCCTTCTCGCTGGCCTCCTTCAAACGCTGCATGGCCATCGGGTCCTTGGTGACGTCCAATCCTTGCTCCTTCTTGAACTCGGAAACCAGATGGTTGACGAGCACGTTGTCAAAGTCTTCGCCTCCCAAGAACGTGTCTCCGTTGGTCGACTTGACCTCGAAGACTCCCTTCTGAATCTCGAGGATGGAAATATCGAAAGTTCCACCGCCCAAATCGTAAACCGCGATACTGAAAAATGACACAAAAACGTTATAGTCGTTATATTTGTGGTCGTCAGTGTTGTTCTTACATTTTATCTTCGGTTTTGTCCATGCCGTAGGCGAGGGCGGCAGCGGTCGGTTCGTTGATCACTCTCAGCACGTTCAGACCGGAGATCTGTCCGGCATCCTTGGTGGCCTGACGTTGGGAATCGTTGAAGTAGGCTGGCACCGTCACGACGGCGTTCTTCACCTTTACGTTGAGATATTGCTCGGCCGTCTCCTTCATCTTGATGAGCACGAACGCTCCGATCTGACTGGGCGAGTACATCTTTCCGTCGGTTGCCTGCACCCAGGCATCTCCGTTGGAAGCGCGCACGATCTTGTACGAGATGTTGTCCATGTCCTTCTTGATCTCGGCATCATCGAAGCGTCTGCCGATCAGACGTTTCGTGGCATAGAAGGTGTTCGAAGAGTTGGTAACCGCTTGACGCTTGGCCGGCATACCGACCAGACGTTCTCCGTCCTTGCTGAACGCCACGATGGACGGGGTCGTCCTGGAGCCCTCAGAGTTCTCGATGACTTTCGCCTGTTTGCCTTCCATGACGGCCACGCAAGAATTCGTCGTTCCCAAATCGATACCGATGACGGCACCCTTGACACCCTCCGACCTGCAAAATTCATCATCTTATTAGAATTCAAAAAGTTCAACAACACCACCCCCTTTTTTTAAAGTAAATTAGGTGGTGGTGAAGACAAGTGACAACTTACTTGAATCTGATTTGTTCATATTTAGCGTTGGCGGCGTACACAGAAGAGTTGGCCTGGAACGAGAAACAAAAGTTAACACTAATTGAAAAGTGTGATGCAACTCGCGACGCAAAATGGTCGGACATCGGGCCATCGGGCATAACCTAACATTTGTCGCCGCGTTTCCAATCGGAATTCCAATTGGAAACTTCTCGATTGATGGAGAGATGAGAGGAAAATGATTTAACGTTACGTAACAGCAACATGATCAATGTGGGGAAAATGAACGACGACACTCACGTTTTTCATCAATTGCGAAAAGTTTCTGTTTCCCACTTTGGAGCAGTCCAATGCCTTGCGGCTGAGTACACGTGCGGCGGACAACATCTTCCTATTTGCTTCCTACTTCTTGTATATTGTGTATAATATCTATAAACCCGATTTATTTCCTTTTCGACACTGCAACGAAAACAACGTTTCTCTCTGCTCTGCTCTGATCGCTTCTGATTTCGGCGCGGCTCCTTCCTTCACGTGCTGCCAATGGAATGAATAGAAATGTAAACGGCGCCGACGATCTTGGCCTAACGTTCGACAGAGACGGAAACTGATTCTAGAATATTCCCCGATCAGTGGATTTCCAAATGCCAACCTACACGACGTTAACCATCCGATCAAAGGCGATTACGACAACGATTATCTCTGGAAAGAGGTCGAGAGGACGAATCCCATTGAATCCCATTCAAGATCGTGCGGTAAGTTGGAATCCTGCAATAATGTTGCAGGATTATCGTAAAATTACGACCAGGGGAATCTCCGTTACCAACGGATTTGAATGTCGAGCACATTTCAAGTTCATTTCCTATAGAATCATTGCCTAAAATTAAACATCCCCAATCACGTTGATAATACGGACACGCACGGACTTTCAAGTAATGTGATTACATAAAGATGTTAGGTATTGCGTAAGAAATTATCTCAAATTACGCAACATCATCGTATCTTTGCGTCACGTTGGCATCGCGCGAAATTTGAAAGTAACAACTATAAAAAGAAAAACAAAAACAAAAACACCGGCGCAGCGCAATTAAAATTTGTTCATTGTTCCACTTTATTAAATTGATTGTTTTTCTCTCGGTCTCTTTGTTTTTAATTAATTACAAAATCCTCGGTGCAAAGGTCGAAGCTGTTTATTAACTTTTATTCCCCCCAAGTGATTGCGTGCGTGCTTGCGTGTATTGATTCTTTTTTCTATCTTTCCTTGTCGCCGATGCTTTGTTTATTGCTGAACGCTATAGACATGGGCAACGGGGCTTCAGCAAATTCCATCTGGGCGCACGAATTCAGACAGCTGAAGAGCATCCACGATGAGGCCTTCCTTGTCATCCAGGAGGCAATCAGTCTGGAGGAGAACGAGAGCCCCAACAGAGTAAGTGCATCTACTGTCTGTTGTCATGGTTGTTGTTGTTGTGATTAATTGTTTTTTGTACGTTAGGCTGTGGAAAAGTACAAGGAGGGCATAGAGAAGATAGACAGTGCCCTGAGTGTTGTGATAACTTGTCCGGAGAGTCCAGATGATAAATGGGTTGCAGCATGCCAGATGGTGCAGAAGATGAAGCAGACCCGCGGCGAGCTTCTGGCGAGGATCAATTCAATAACGTCCTCGCCCGGATACAGGCACGAGGAGCCTCCACCCACCTACGATGATGCCACCTCGTCTACGAACAGTTCCGTTTTCACGTACACGCAGCTCGCCGAAGCTCTGGACAATATGCAGGAGGTGAATCCGCAGGGACCGGCAGAGATTCTCTTCACCCATGACAATGTACTATTATATTTCATCTCGGCGGACGGTATCGTCATTTCCACGTCGGAGCCGCAGACCTTGAATATCGCTTTAGTCTATGGTAAATTCAAAGCTATTATTTCTCTATATATATTGCTGAGATTTTTTTTTTAATTTTGTGCAGGTGATGAGGAAACGCCACCAAAAGCCTTTCTGCAAATCGGCAATTGGACTTATCCATTGGTGCCGGGCGTCTCACCTTGCTACAGGACAGAGTACAGGGCATTCATATTTCCCGATGTGCACTCGGATATCGAAGGTGAGAGAGGGTTTGGTTTTTGCACAGTGAACGTGAATCGATGTTATGAGTAAAGTTGGATTTTAGGGTCGACGGTTGCTTTCATCTTGCCGGAGGAAGCGGATCAAATTGTACTCGAATTGTTGGAGAGTCTTCTTCATGGGGTCGTCAAGCAGATTGGGCAGCGAGATGATCAGCTGGTGTTGAGTCGAGCTCGCAGGGAGCAGAGATCCGCTACCGCAGACACCATCCTCACCGGGGCCAATTACATTTCGAAGGGTCTCGTCTGGGGCGCTCAGAAGACAGGAGATTTGCTCAACTACGGAACACCGAAACTTCTAAACAGCATGAGACCTGCGCCAAGTACGGCGACGATTCCAGAGAACGTCTCCAAGGGGCTTCATATTGCAGAGAAGACGACCAGTAAAGCCGTCGAGGCGACAGGATTCGTTGGTAATGCACTAGGTCGCTCTGTAACGATGGTATTAAATTGTTGTTGTCGTTTTGCAGCGGAAAAGCTGGGCGTTGCCACCTCAAAACTGGGTCACTTCCTTGCGCCTCACATTCAGCGTCAAGGCACCAAACTGCTGAGCAAAGGGTTCAACATGAGCGAGGCCGAAGCATCGTCAAAGGTCAACGGCGTCCTCACGGTGGCGGCCGGCGCCGTCGAGGGTTTCGGCACGATCTACACGGGTCTTGAGACGTCCGCCTCAATACTCGGATCGAATCTCAAAGAAAACAGTGTGAGGATCGTCAAACATAAGTGAGTGAAAGTACGACAACATCATTTGTCAATAACAACAACATGAACGTTGCAGATATGGACATTCCGCCGGGGAGGTGACTGGCACTACACTCAACACCGTCGGCAACGTGTGGAACATCAGGAACAACGCTCGTTTCTTCACTCCCAAAGGGTTTGCCAAGTCGACTGCCAAGCAGACGGGACGTGCTCTGGTGCAGCAGGACTACGCCGGACCGTCGACGAGCAGCGGATATCCTCCAAACGTAAGAAACTCAAATTCCTCGTTGATTTCGGATGACGATGAGGTCGTCACCGCAGCAGCCGCCGGTTTAGTTAATTTCGAAAATATCATCCGATCGCAAAATGATGGCCGTCCACCAATCCACCCGCAGCTCTACCCTTCACTACCAACAGCCACAACAACAGCAGCAGCAACGACGATGACGACGTCCACCGATGGCAGCAAACAATCTGATGAAAAGGTCGAACTGCGATAAAGTTTACCTGTTACTGTATTTTATTTTTTTATACATATACTATATACATTATTTTTTTGATAGAGAGAGGGTGGGTGGGTGAAAGAGACGTGGAAATCCCATTAATTGCATAATACATATACACACAACTGTTTATTTATACACGAGTTCAAATTTATTCCTTTCCTGCCAACTGGTTGCCTATGTTAACTGCATGACCCCCATCTAGCGGAACGCGCAATGTACTTTCAAATTTGCAATTAACCGCTATATTCGTAATCTAATTAAATTTTATCAATCTGCTGATCATAATAGGCGTTGCAAAGATGCTGCGTTCAATTGGACGTTTATGATGGATGGATGATGAATGTAAAGAGGTAGTAGGTAGTTTCCTTTTCAGTTACATCTTTAGTTCAAGTGTAAACTAATAGAGGATGTTTATGTTGTGTTGAAATAGTTCGCGCCAAGAAGTATCCGTTACAGATTGAAAAACAATCTTTGTTTATCTTGCAGAATGTGTTGCAGAAGTATTCAATGGTCGTCGATGGTGGTCAGTCATGGTCATAGTTATTTAGAAGATAGGAAGTGAATAGGAGATAATCAACATCATCATCATAATGAATCCAATTAATTTTGTGTACAGTCAGAACTACATGGAGGAAAGGGAGAAGCAATGGGATTTCCTTTTCAATAAATTATCAGAAGTTCAGGACCATGATGCAGCATCGTTCAGTTTGAACTCTGTTGAATTCACATCAACATCAAGCGATGAAACGTCCGATTCTCTATTCGTCTTCAGTGGTAAAAAAACTATAGTTCATTCCCACATTTTATTCGCTTACTTACTGATGTCTGTGTCTTTTTTTTGTGCAGGTGATGAAGACCCAAAATGCTTCTACTATAAAATCAATGATGATCCTGCAACAGCCAAACCGCTTCAGTTCAACCATACACTGCAGGACTGTTACAAAATTAATCACTGCTACTTGATGAAAGAATTCGTTGACATGATGCTGAGCATCAGCAGAAATGATAACGCCAGGATTCAAATCATGCTGGACTCTTACGTAAAGAAGGCTCATGTGCAGCCCGCCATAGATCAATTGGAGTACTACTGCAGCAAGCTCTACTTCATTCTGTTCTACGACATCTGGCTGAAGAAGACACACAATAATGAAACAGTTCAGCGAAACCATGGGAAATTTACCTCCAAATTGCTGGGCGAGCTCAAAGATGAAGTGCACAACCAAAAACATTTCATCGATTATTTCAAGCATGTGCATTTTGCGTTTACCATAACCGAGCGGATTGTCCAGAAATCAAAGAAGATGCACAAAAAGAAGGGAAAAAAGAACAGAAGAAGTAAATGTAATCAACAATGAATACTCTTAAAACTGCTTGCTAACAGCAGACTGGAATAGAATTTCTTTTCGTTTTTTTATCACTACAGTTTTTTTTATCGAATGTGTTTACAACATATTATTTATATTTTTTGAGGATTGTTGTTATTTTTATTTTGTGAATTGTTTATTATTTTATTTTTAATATATTTATGTTTATTTATACTTGTATATTTTTTGCCAAGTGCAAATTGAGATTGTTTGGAAAATGTGAAAAGGATAAAACAATTGTTTGATTGATTGATGAAATTGGTGGCGTACAAAAAGGAAAAAGTTTATTATATTTCACCAAGGAAAACATATAATAAATATATATATATATATATGTATAAAAAAAAGATGTTTTCGTTGAGTACGTAGCGCAATACAATTAAGTTATACTTTAAATGTGCATTGCAGGGTTGAGGGTTAATGAATATTGCAAATCAATAAATACTTAAAATAAGGTAGCAGTAACGTAATTGCAAATTGCAAATGTGGAGGAGAGAAAAGGGTGTGACTGTGTTCTGGATTGATCATTTCTTCTACTTCTTGTATACATATACTAATATGCTAGTCTAACTATTTTTTGCTGCAGCTAATTACGTTATTGTTGTCTCGGATTGAATTTAGCACGCGTATTTGGGTAGGGTGTCACCGCCGTTCCTGTAACCAATGAGCGTGCTGTTGCTGTGATGGTGATGATGTTGTTGTTGGTGACTGTTGTGATGGTTATGGTGGTTGTGATGGTTCGGATGATGATGGGCGGCTGCTGCTGCTGCGGCGGCGGCGGCGTTCGACGACTTGTTGAGGGTGCCTTGGTGCGGATACAGATTGAGTGGCGGCAGATTGGGGTGCTCGATGCGGGTCGGGGAGGAGACGCGCGGTCTATAAGTGGTTGCGATGGGAACGGCCCCAGCCGCCGCCCGCCTCATCGATCCGCCGCCCCCGAAGGTCGCAGCGCACCTCATGTCCGTATTACCTAACATCGAATACTGCTGGTGATGATGAGGAAGATGCTGCTGCTGCTGCTGTTGCAGTTGATGTCCACCTCCATCGACCATGTCGTTCATCTGGTAGCTCTCGATGAGGGGCGTCGGATCCTCGTACTCGTAATCTACGAAGCCAGAATTATCGAAACTCGCCTGTCCGTCTAACAACAACAGCGTCCTGCTGCTGCTGCTGCCACGGCCTACACTACCATCTTCTCTACGTCCAGCGGCAGCAGCCGTAGCGGTCAGCCTCAAACCTTTTTGGTAGGTGCTGTACGCGTAAACCGGTTGGATTTGCAGATTGTCGATGGTCTCGTAGTGGTCATCCGTCTCGACGTAGTCACCGGTTCCCATCAGATGGTCGGCAGGATAGTTCTCCGAGATGAAGTGTTGGGTGCCGCGTGGAGTCAACGCAGCCCACACCATCCTGTTGTCGGGATGGACGCTCGCAGATCCATGGTACAGTACAGAGTCTACGGGATGGATAAGCTTGTTGTTTCCTCCACCTCCGCCGTTGAGGTTCGTCACCGATGAGCACTCTCGATCTCGTTCCGCGTGCTGCTGATGATGATTCTTCATTTGACGTTCGTTGCGGCTTCCGTGCATAGAACATTCGTTGTTCCCGAACATATTCATCCTGTTTGATAATATATTTAATAAGTATTTGTTGCTTCTTCTTCTCCTCCTTTTTCCTCTCATTTATGTATTATATTTATACTACTCACTCTCTACACTTCAGCAGGAACATGGCCAGCAGGGCTCCGAGCAGAAGGACGCCAATGGAGGAAGCTACAAGAACTAGAAGCCAAGTATCATCAATATTCGAAACAGACCAAGATTCCACGTCTATCGGTTGGGTGGGTGTCGGTATCGTCGATGTCATCGTCGTCGTCGGCACAGATCACCAGACAGACGCGCAAAGACCAGACGGAAAAACAGACAGAAAGAACAAGTTTGGTGAGATAGAGAGCAAAGGGATATGGACGAGTGTTATGGGAGCGAGGTTGTTTGGAGTGGACTCTAACCTTTTCTCGGCAGTTCGATGAAATCTCCTCCAGCTCCGCCGACGCCGACCATGTCTCCGACGGTTTCGCGCCAGGCCTCGCAGAGCTGCGGCGAGACGCACGTCGTATTGCTGACCAGAAGATCGGGCAGAGAGTTCTGCAGGAAGGCAGGAACCGGCGGCGGCGGCAGAAACAAGATGCTATCCGGCGGCGGACCAATCTCCCAGCAATCTCCCAAACAACCCATCTGCAAAAATTATAAAAATATTACAAGTGAATTGAACGTTTCAACAACAATTATGGAAAACACGATAAAATATACTTGGCACACCATCATTTCTTCCTGATCTTTGCAGGTTTCCTGTTGCAGTTGCAGCACGGGATGATTTCGCTAGACTGAATCGAACAAAAGTGCGGAAGGTCCGGTTCGACGACGATCTCCTCGTGCTCCATACTACGGGTAGCATCGACGATGCTGGAATCCTCCTGGTAAAGTCTCTTCGGTTTCCTGCGGATGAGCGCCTCGTACGGACTTTGCCTGCATTCAGGAGAGATGTTGCGTCGCAATTGGCAGAAACGCAATCCTTCGCTCCACTTGGTCGAATTCGTTTCCCTCATCCACGACACGACCGAATCTTTGATGTCATCGCCGTTGCCGTTGCGATTGTAACCACCGTGGCTCACGCAACTCAAGCTGCTCCACATCATCTTCAGCTCCTCTATAACGTCCGATGCGAGCTGTCCTCCGTCTTCTGCGGATTGCAGCAAGCCGGGCGCGCCCAAAATGCAAAATATATCCAGCAAGTTGTAGGCCACTTCGACTGCAACTATCGTTTTCAGCGGACGCAGCAGGCAGAACTTGGTGCTGCAGTCTTCGTAATGAAGGATGTACTTGTTGTCGCCGTCCGCAGACTCGCTCATATCGACGATGTCCACAGTCGCTCGATACAGCCTCTCCTTGACCTTAACACTTTTCATCATCGACGATGACGAACATCGTCTCTTAACCACTTGTCGTTGTTGCTGCAGCTGCTGTCGACGACGACGTTCGTTGCCTGTGCTGATGAGCGCTGCCGCCGCCGAAGTGCGTTTCTTCTTGCACTCTGCGCACAGATCCAGATAGATCTTGATCACTTCCCTGGTGACGTTCGCGTATCTGCTTTTCAGGTACTGCTCCAGTTTGTGTTTGCCGCCGTGACCGGTGCCGAGATGGGCCTCGTGGATGATGTCGAAGATCTGCCCGTTGTGTATGTAGAACTTGTAGTCTTGATCCTCCTCCGCAACAGGACTGATCAAACGCTTCTCCCCCTCAGCACCGTCCGCCACTACGTCGAACCGCTTGAATCGTCTGTAATCCTTCCACGACTTCTTCGTCTTCGTCTTGGCCTCCTCCACCTCCTTCAGCAGTTTACCGTAGCTCTGCTCGTTCTCGATGAGCAGCGAATTCACAGAGATCCGAATGAGTTTCAGTCGATCGTGGAACGCGACTCGAAGTTCTTCTTCGTCATCAACTTCTTCGTTCTGTTCGTTTTGTGGTAGCCGTTTTAACGTTTGCTCCATATTCAGATGGACTCTGTTCAGTACAACGGACAACGGCAACGAGAACACAGCCGCCCTCCGACTTTGCCCAGAGGTTGCGGAGGAGGCGCTGCCCGCATTGCCCAATGTGCGCAAGAGCCCACCAAACGCCCTTCTCGTTCACACCAACACATGTCCTACTCCTCCTCGTCCTCCTCATCTTCCGTCTATCGATTTTGCCAAATTCATACATACACACACACACGTACATGAAACGGATACACTTAATGCAATAATACAAATATAATTATAATAATTATAAACTGATTGGCGGCGATTGGTGAATGTCAAGAACGCAATGATTACATGTGCAAATATTTACGCTTATTAGCGCGTTAACTTTTAAATTACACATTTAAATGTTCAATCACAATCTTCGTCGTCGTCATCATCTTTTCCATATACATCTGTAGACTAGAGTCAATTTATTCAAAAAAAAAAACACGATGAGCAACAAAGTAACAACTTGTACGAGTTGTTGGCAATTCGATACGTTTCATATTTCACATAACTAGTAACAATAGAATTGAATGGATGGAGGTGATCGCGCGAATTGCAGACGAATTAAATTCGCACTCTCTCTCCGAGGAGAAAAAGAAATGCAGGAAACGACGAAGCGCAAGTAGTTTATGACCTAGATTGCAAGTTTTTAACCGCTTTCCTTTCTCTCTCTCTCTCTCACTCTTCAAATAATACCTCCCTATTATTAACTATTTTGTGTGAAATTAATTATAGTTAGCAGGACAACTATAATTAATTTCTGGGAGGTCTTGCTTCCTTGTTGTTGTTTTGTTTTCGAAATTGGAAACAATTGTTGCACTTCCTGCTAGAGCGGTACAATGATGTAATCGTACATACAAATATAGCAACAAAAGTAATGATGATGGTAATAGAGTACAGTTGCAAAAATTGTAATGGCAAAAGCAAAGCGGAATTTTTTAGCTCAGTGTCGAGGTGAACGGCGGTGAGAGTGCTTCATTTACAAAAGTTTCACCTGCGTGTGCTTTGTTACTACAATTGTATGTGTGAGGTGACTACTCATCATATAGACGTACAGGATAATAGGATTACATTTCACGTACATCCTCTCTACTAAACACCATCATCATCATCATCAACGTCGTCGTCGAAGTGTAAGTGTCATGGGTCAAATATCGAACGATGCGGTCGGCGGTTCGCTACCATCTCAATCGAACGACTCTAAGCGCGCTCATTTATATATATATATACAAGTGCACACATCCATATAGCACACATCACCATCATCATCGTCATAATCATTACAATCACCAATGAAATACATCATCAGGTGGGCCGTGACATTAGGGACAATTGAATTGCAGGAAACCGCGACTGAGAGAAGGAGAAAAAGAAAAAAAAAGAAGCCAACCTTGAACGCTCACTTCTAATTCTCGAGGAACGCGAAATTCGCTAAAGAGTTGAACGACACTTTAACGATTATAACATCTGTGTACGTGCATTCATTAATATATATATGCGTGTATATGAACTGTCCTGTTCAGATAATTGATAACATGTACTTGATAGATAATCTTATCTTATCTTGGACGAAGCTTACCTTGCAGAAATGGATGCACTTGCTATTCCTTATGCACTGCACACGATGATGTTGACTATTGGCGATGATTCTCTTTCATGCCCCTTTTTGTTTTATTCTTCCTTCGTAGTCGTCGTCGTCATCCGTTCCTCCCTTCGCGTGTTTTGGCGGCGTCTACACACATACACACGAGGGGGTGGCCGCGACGCGAATCGAGCGGCGTCGCGACGCCAACTGCGCACCGATCGATCGTGCGACGCTTGCGTCTCGCAGAAAACGTCGCGTTCTATCGATTGCGTTCAAAGCGCACCCCATATCCATCCAACCATCCATCTCCTCCTCTTCTTCCAGAATCCCAGATGGACGAATTAATGAGACACCTGGTGAAAAGCTCCTCCACTTGCGCACTTCACCCCTAAAAAAGATAAACAAATGATCAATTTCTTTCGCTGCAATTATTTTGTTTTCTTTTCATCCATCACAGTCAGCTCGAATTCGTTTCGCAACATCAAGCACGCGCGCTCGCAAGAAACAACAATCCATCAATTACTAATTGCATAATATTCTCAATTAGCTAATTGAGAATTTGCTTCGTCGTTATATTACTCGTTACCAAGGATATGCTATGGTTGCTACGAATCTAATGACAGTTATTATTAATATAAAATAAAAGAGGACGAACTAATGACAACTCTCTAGGGTTGTTAGATAGTTGTCATGGTTATTGTTGATATTCAAATTACAGCTATGTGCAATTAAAGCCTAGCAACGAATTAATGTGAAAGTACTCTTCTCCATTTGCGTGTTTCTCTCCTAACTGTAACAATTATATTGTTGTCACGTGTTGCCAGTATGTGTATGTGTTTCGGTTCGCTCGTTAGAGAAACGTACGTTTTAACAGCAATTTGTATGCAAATTCAATCATTATCGAAGCACCGCACTTATCGCATAACATTTTACTGAGTAAAAGCAACACGATAAGTCTTAAAATGTGCGCCGTTTGTTTGAAAAATGACCAAACGAACACAAAAATAAATAAATTAATTAATTAATCGATTACAAAGAGTTGTTGGAATGAGAGCGATAGAAGATTCGTCCTCGAAACGAAAGAGAAGATTTCGAAATAACTAACACACTAACTACATTTTAGATGCTGATGGTGCGAGTTGCCTTGTCTCGTCGTAGGCGGCGGCTGCGTCCAACCTAGACCTTTTAACCTTTAAAGTTGAAGGTCCATCACCTAATTATGAAACTATTATAAACAACAACAGCAAAAAAAAAACGGTGTATTCGATTCCCGTAACATGACTCTTTCTTCACTTGGAATGCGTATCAAATATCCGGTTCGAACATGTACTGACCTACTTGTGAAACAAGAACAAAAACGACATCTTCATCCACATTAATTTCAAATTGTCTTTGTTTTCCAGCTAACTCTATTTATATTTTTCTTATTTTCAGATAGACGAAAGTCGTTACTTGCAAATTTCTCAGGTGAGTTTTCCCAAACTGAATTTCTTTCTGCAACTGAAAGTAATTTAATTACAAATAGATTTGGGTAAATTGGGGTAAAGTGCGGTGGAACGCAATTAAATCGCGTTTGCCGGAAGCGCGGGTTTGCGCGATTAATTACTTTTCTTTCGGAACAACTATTTACGAAAGAGAGGCGTCGCGACGCTCGGGAATAGCGAGCGAGCGCGCGCGCACTTCTGCACCTTCGCCGCGAGGGGTCGGGGTTCTGTTCTTGCCAACGACGCCGTATCCTGAAAACAAATAAATTTCAGTTAGTTTCACGGGCGTCGCGACTAACGCAAGTGAACGACGACGACGTCGCGACGCTCAGAGCGAGAGAGTTCGGTGCGAGAAAGGCCATGCAACTGGAGGACCAGTGCCGACACTTGTTGCGCTTCTGAAGAGAGACAGACAGAGATAGAGAGAAGGTACGTCTGTATATGATTTTGAAGAAATGGGACCAACCGAGATATTAATTAATCGAAAGTTATTTAATTATGAGAATGCTCATGGCGCAATTTAGTTGGAAACTAGTCTCCGGCTACAGATCTCAATTTAATATTCTGCGCGTCCGAACTTTACGGCCAAAGCGGATTTAATTATTAGCGATCTTCAAAGTTTGCTTATTCAGAAAGATGGTCTTAGTTGTTATTAATTAAACGATAATTTGAAATGCAAATACAACTGGATAAGTTGCACTTAACATATAGCAAATTTAGTGTGAACTAGAGTAAACTTAATCATCTATTATATTGTTGTCGCACTTTGTATTCTTAAGTGAACTACATATAAGTGGCAAACGCCCTCGAGTGTCGTACGTTGGTTATTTAAATCGATTGTTTTCGTATCGATTTCAGGTGTTAGTTAACAACACAAAAAGAAAGAGCAACAAGCGCGCGTGTTGCGTGAAAGAGATTACGTAAAAAGAAGCAAATAATAACGTGTTTCGTCTTCTTTGATTTATAAGAAATTAATAAACATCATCAAAAACTTAATTTCTTTTGTGTGTGTGTTTTTTTTTGAACGGGAGGCGAAGGGGACTTTGATTATTCGTTGGAATGCAATTCATCCTTGCACACATTCCTGGTAACAGAAGAAGAAGCGATTCACGTTCACGCAATGGTGGGAGGAGGTTTTGTTTTTTTTTCGGATGTTTTTGGACATCTTTTGCCTTCTTCATCACCATCACATGAACGAGTATATATATAGGGTGGGGTTGTGAGTTCGGAAGTAATCAAGCGAAAGCGTTTAGATAACGAACACAAAAGATGTGCAGCAAATTGCTAGTGGTAAGTAGCATATTTTTAGTTGGAGGTAAAGTGTTTATTTTATTTTCATTCAAATACGACACTTCGCCTCCAACAAGAATATAATGAGAGTTTAGACTATGAAGCGAGGATGAGTTATGAATGGGGGAAAGTAGTTTGCAGCGTGCGTGTCGCTGGTCGCAGCAAGACCGGACATCGGATTGAAGATCAGGGAGGGCGGCATTCCTGCAGGAAGTTACCTACCTCAACAGGGCGCTCCGTCGTACGCTCCAAGTCAACAAGTCAACTTTGCCTCCACCAGTTACGGAGTTCCATCCGGTTTCCCGCATTACACTGGATTCGTTCCTCCGCAACATTACCGCAAGCAAAGCGCTTACTTCTTCGACGCTCCCGAGGATCTGGGTCAAACACATGTGAGGGTTCACGTGCAACCGTCCGCAGCCGCAGGCGACAAAACCATCTACATCAGAGCTCCAGCCTACAACTCAAGGATCATCCCACACTTCAACATCGCTCAACAGCAGCAGCCTGCTGGCAAGACAAAGGTTTACGTCTTGGTGAAGAAACCGGAAGAGCAGCAGGATATTGTTGTTCCTGCTGGAGTGCAAGCACCGGCCGCCGAACCAGAGGTCGTCTTCGTCAAGTACAGGAATCAGAAGGAGGCAGAAGAGAAGTTGAAGAGTATCCAGGACGGTTCGATCGGCGGTGACAGCGCCAAAGTCGTCGGTAATCACCAGGACTTGGTGCACTCGATCGAAGATCCGAAGATCGACGTGAGATTCGGCTCTCCTGCGTACGACAACAATGTGGCCGTCAGCGCACCGAATCGCGTCCAAGAGAAACCGACCGCCAATTATGGACCAGCAGGAATCAGCGGTCCTTACTAGAAAACAACAGAAAAAACATTTTTGTACATTTTTTTTACACCAGTATTACATACACACATAAAAAACATAATAAATAGATTTTAAATATGGAAAGAGTAAATTTCTTATGGAGATTTTATGCAAATCCGAAGACAATCCAAGGCAAATGACTTTAAAAACGCGGTGCCTCTGGAATTGCCTCATTCCCATTCACTCAGAGACGAAACGACCAAGAAGATGTTTAGTGGGAATTGATGCAAGAAATAGAAAAAAAAAATAATTGGAATGTATACTAATAATATTTCGTATATATACAACGAAGGAGGGAATTTAAACCCGGATTCTCATTATTTCCCACCAATGGAATCATCGATTTGCGCTTCACGCAGTTTTCACGTCAATGTCATCAACTACTAACTACTTTTACCTACAATTAAAGATCTTTGTTTTTTTTTTGTTGTCGTTGCTTCTTGCAATTAATTATTCAAATTTACAAAAGTCGTAGTTGATTGAAGAAAATACAGGCAACAAAAAAGAGACCCTAACGAGTATCTCTCACTCTCTCTTCACTTGTTTTTCATCGATGAATTTGATTGATTGGTCAGTGTTGCTCCCTGGCTATAATACGTATACATACATGTATTGGAAATTATTCTCAATTATTCGCTCGAAATTATCCTTTATGGTTAAACACATTGAATACACGGCTAATTGGATTATTCGACATTATCATTAGCTTGCAATTACGCTAATGATCATTTCAATTACTCGTTGTATCAACTTTTGCTTGCTACATAATTCATCGTTGTCTTTTTCTCTTGCCTTAAGAGTTCATTACTTTTTTTTTAACAATTTCGGGTTTTCCTCGGGCTGTATTTTATTGGCTTAGGTCGTGGTCGAGGTCGGGGTCGTAGCATCAGCAGCATCCTCTCTTTCTCTCTACCGCTTTTTCTCAATGTCAACTCTCATTTATAGTAGTCATCTCAAGTATTTTTCTTTTCTATTTCTGGTGATTTACGACGCACTAAATCTCCGAAGATATTGAGGTGTAATAATATAGTGACTTTGGGATTCCTCGAACGCATTTTGCTCAACAAAATTATACTAATATCGCTATGGAAACGTGTCTATGGTGACACAGAATTCGTGTTCGTGTTACGTCCGTGATTCTTAAGATTTCAATCATTAATATTCACTTATAGAATTCAATATTGTAGTATGTGCAATTGATTGATTATTACAACATTATAGATTACTGAATCCATTGACCCAAGTTATTGCGTGTCCATTTGTATGAAAGCTTTTGTTGGTTGTCCTGGCAACGGAATTTGTCGAGGAATATAATATAAGTTTTTCCATTCAAACACACAAGTTTCGTTTACGATCGGAGCGAAAAGAAGTTTTCCAAGCAACGGAAAAATTCGTTGAAGCGAAAAAGGGAGAAGGCCTTAGGGACAAACAACAAATATACTCGAGTGAACAACTCTCTTCACTGGCAATAAAATAAAGTTGTCTTCACATATTGGAAACTGAAGTACAGAGAATAAATCACGTTTAAAGTTGAAAAAATGCTCGAAAAAGCAGTATTTTCACATTTCATTGATTTTCAGGAAAACTATAATACTTAGAATGAATCCAAAAGATGCATATGAAAGCTGAATGTTTGGGGAATGTGGCAAGTATTGATATATTACTGTGGTTTTATCCGTTTGGCTGTAATGCGCGTTCAAAATTTAAAAAATGCTTAAAAAAGAAGTCTTTTCACATTTCATTGATTTTCTCGAAAACTATAATACGTAGAATGAATCCAATAGATGCATATGAAAGCCGAATGTTTGGGG